AGTAAATCAGTAGTATGAGATGTATTCACCCAATTTCGTTTAAGGTGATGAAAGACTGGTAGAAGAAGAAATTTTCCCACAATGATATGAGTTGAGCTGACGTTTCCATTCAATTTCACATAGCCATCCTGCACTGTCGTGGTTCGACTCCCGCTGATGGTGTTGATAAGACCGATGCGAGGTCGAAACTGCTGTCCACCCTGGATGATGTGAAATTCAATAGAAACGTCAGTTTAACTCATATCATTGTGCGAAAATTCTACTACCAATCCTTCAGCACCTTAGACGAAATAGGTGAATACATCTCAGACTACGAATATAGTTTGTTGTCTGATCTTATTTATCTTGTAATCTAGTTCTATGATCTACATGAGCCATTCCCCAGGCATGTAAATACTTTAGGGACATACCTGATGGGCCAAAGGCACTTGTCGAAACGTCGACTTGGCTGAACGCATAAAAAATAAATTCTGTCCTGCAGAATATGTTGTGTTCAGTTGCGTCACGCTGCCAATGTTCTGCGGCTGGACAGCATGCACGGGATCTGCTTGTTCCACTGGATCTGACCGTTTTGCGGAGCTCCAGTTTGTTGCAACAACATGATTGGTGGATAAAGAGGGTGACTTCTGTACGACGGTGACTGATGATGCCCCCGTCTCTACTGGAGGAGTGGTTGGCTGAGAATCCTGTCGAGACGCTCGGCGTGTCTGTCCGATCACTTGAAGAGGTCCACCTGTGCAGGCGGGGAATCGTTGATGTGAAGGCATGTGTTTAAGAATAGATCATCGCTTGAGTTCATTCGAAAGATCATCAAATGCTTGAACAACTGAGGTTGCATGCTTGTGCTTTTATTGGTTATTTCAAAAAAGAAGATGATAAATTTGACCGAAACAACATTAAACGCTACCACCGAGGAAATTGTTTCAAAAATTGTGAACAATACTTTGCCGTATTGTAGGGAAAGCAATAAGGAAATATTTGTAGAACTCATAAGTTTTCTCGACGGTCTACTAGAAAATACAGGTTGTCCTTTTAAGTGGTAGCCTTGAAGATCTACTGCCTAGGCAAAGCAAAGTGAATTACATGACAAAGGAACTAAATATTCAGAAAACAATAATTTAAGGCCAGATGGTAGAAGTTATTGATATGTTGGTTATGCAGAAATAATGATTCAGTCATTAGATGATGTTGAAGCATACAACATTATCAAAATGACCCTACAGAAACTTTGAAAGCTAGGCTCAACCGTTGGATTCAACATTTACAACAAACTGGGAACTTGAACATTGAAAAATGAGATGGTGGCCTCTTCATGTATATGGCTTGCCCAAAATGCACAAATAAGGCATCCCACGGAATTATTATGATACAGTACTTATGATTTGTCTGACAATAGACTAAGCAAATCTCCGAGATGTGATAGTTTTAAATGAGGAATAATTATGATTTCATCCAATTAGACAATGAAGTACGGAGAGAAAGGAAGGAATAGCTTGTAAGTTTTGATGTATTGTCGACTTGTAGTAAGCTAATGAGGCTCTGAAATTAATACCAGACAGAAAGGCCAGAGAGTTCAATGAACGCACATTTGGGTAAGGATTCACTAATGATATTAACATACCTAGCAATGGGATGTAAGTACTTTTGGCTCAATGATAAATTGCAACAGCAATCACAAGCTGTAATGATGGGATCGTATTTATGACCGATTTTATTAAATAGTAATGTAGCTCAATTGGAAGGTCATTAAATTTATGAAGCACTTTTATTTACTAAATTGTTGGCTAATTGCAGGTAGTTCGCGATTAATAGCAGTTCGAATAGTGCAGAATTCAAGTTTGTACGAGTTGTTAATTAACATTAGGCCTCATATAACATTAGCTAAAGCTCAGTCAGCTGTGTTCAAGGCTGCATAGAAACAGAACAGACGTAGTAATTAGCATTAGACGGTTGGTGCATTCGGAAGAACTGAGTGATGCAGATCTTACTAATTTAGATCATTTATGGAGAAGGACAATAGCAATACAGAAGAAGCTAATGTACAAGGGAAGAAGGCCACAATCAAATAATAGGAAACAATATTTCACACTTTAGAAACGTTATAACGACCAAGCATGCAAATCTGCCCAAACATATATAAAGTTTTTAGCAACTACTAGTGAATATATGATGAAATCAAGTACAAGAGAACTTTTAATATATTTGATTGAATCATAAACATGTTTCGATTCGCATTTGTAGACTCTTCATATTTATGCACTCAATTACTTTTCACTTACATATGTTTGACTGAACGGTATTTAGTTTTGCTTATAATAAGACTTTTTGATTGTCCTTATCTATTATATTGCATTGAGAAAGATAGCAAACATTGTATTAAGCTGTTTCGATGGGATGAAGCGAATTACTCGGCTTTCTATGTGATACTCGCTTCGAATAGTAGGCGTTTGAATAGTACAATATTTTCCAGGTATGAATTACTCGAAGTGTATATGGATGACTAGTGATATGTTTAGAAATTCGACAATAAGAGCCTTAAAAATTTCCTAAAGTTAATGTATATACAAGATAGGACGACTAAATTTAACATATTATTAGAAAAGGATGGTAGATAACTCAGTTCGGATGTCATTATTAGCAAAAAGGAAGTCACATTTAATCAAGGAAATCATCGAATACTAATTTCTTTTTAAAACATTTTTTCAAATATTTTTGTGTGGTTAAACTAGGCGCAATAAAATATTGATAATAAGAAGTCTGCTTTTTGCAGATGTTAATCAACGGGATGAGCAATTAAAGTGATTAAGGACAGTTTTCGTGAGGAATAATTATGCATCAGGACACATTGACAATTATTTTAAATATTAAGCAATAGGAGGGAGAAAAACATCTACTTGGGGCAAGATGGACGACTGGGTTCTGATGATGAACCATTCCTCCGAAAGGATGGGTACCTAACTAAAGAAAAGACATATCAGGACACTACCATCTTTTCGCGGATTTCAAGGCACATGCTCCTGATCGAGCAGTCACAAAGATTTCATTTCGTATGTTGGCGTCTACAGGAGAAGTTACGTGAACACGAAGCAATCTGAAAATGTTTGTGAATTCACAAATCATAACTGGCCGAGCATATGGTCCATACAGAACATCAGTTAGACTGGTCGGAAGCCGGACACTTGGCAGGATTTGGAGAGTGTACACGTAAAAAGAAGATCAGGGCGTATGTAGAGATAGAGAATAGCAGTAAAACTGTGAATAGACGGAATAAATGTGACAATTTGCGCGGAAACACCTTGTGGGTGTCAAATAGGATTAGGGAAAGAGAGAGGGGAGCAAGCTGAGAATATGTATTTAGCTTTGAATCTGGTTATTTTGCTTTCAAGCGAATTGAATGTAAGCAAAACCCACACAATTATGTGCGTCAACATTGTATGTTTAAAAAGAGATTAGATGCAGCTGTACCGTCACTACGGCATCGAATTCACGCGTTATCCACAATCCTTTCACATTTAGACAAGCATGTGGAAAGACCAATCCCAAGATATCTCATCAAATGGACAGATCGGGCTATGAGAAGTGGTCTGGAGTGCAGCCCGACACTTTTCTTGGCGACTGAGTAAATTATCCTTTCCCGCTCCGACAATGTATCTCGAATGACATAATAAAGCCACGAAGAGTGACTGGATTTCGAGGAGTCTCCTGAGACAACATTGTTGGGAGACTTTCATTTCGTATGAAAGTGCACGAAGAAGAGATCCGTAAGTCGATCTCACCAGAAGAGGACGGATGAATCCCGTTGTACTGCAGCCGTTTGGCTTTTATACGACATTCAGGTTGGATATCATCAGAGCTGGTTCTCATTCGTGTAACACTGTCAAGATAACAAGTGAGCAAGAAGACTATCCGACTCAGCCCCTTTTCACCCGAAACGAGGAAGGAGGTCTCATGAACTGCGTCAACACCGACGTCGTATCAAAACAAAACGGCTGCAGTACAACGAGATTCATCCGTCCTCTTCTGGTGAGATCGACCTACCAAACTCTTCTTCATGCACTTTCATACGAAATGAAAGTTCCCCCAACAATGTTATCTCATGCGATTCATCGAAACCTAGTTGCTATTTCTCCCGGAAAAAAACTAAACAAA